AAATTAAACCCCCTTAAAAAGTTGTTAATTTCTAGAACAATGCCTTCTACAGAGTAAGAGAGGAATATCTACTTGTTAAGTGAAAATGAACAGAAGTGTTTGCCAGACTTGTGACAGATTGGTTATCATAGGGTCAGTTATAATATCTGGAGTCTCTTTCATAAAGATCTCCCCAGGAATTTAGAAATTTTGCTTATGGCAAGAGGTAAAAAGTTTTCAAACTGTAATATTTTCCTTCGCTCAGCAATGGTTCTTAGACTTTACATGCAGTAGAATCATCTGGTTGGTTCTGGGATGGAGCCCAGAGTCTACCTTGCTAATAAGCAACATATTGGGGTCCTGGTGGGAACACATTTGGAGAAATATTATCTTTAGGTCTGTTGTAAATGCTATAATATTTTATTTTACCACCATGGAATTCCAATTAATACTTGGATTTTAGGGTTTGAAAAGGGACCTGGCTATGGAAGATAAACTGCAAGTACGCAATTTGGTCATTCAAATTTGACATGAAATAAGGATCAGATCTGCAGACTCTTCTTTGGAAAAATACTGCCCTACATTTGTTTGTTTGAAAAAATGTACTGCCGTAGCCCTCAGTCAGAGTGTATTCATCACTTTCTTATAAGATAACTCCTGCACTGTTTTATATAAGAAGAGAAAGAAAAGGAACAAAATTTGGGAACATTTTTGTATTTCCACCTATAATTGACCTACAGTAAGATACGAATTCATAATGCTCTAAGTATTATTTGTTGTCATTTTATATTTTTCTAATTAACTTCCCTGTGAACTCTTTCATATGTGAAAGCAATGATTTTGTGTGCTAGTTATGCTTTTTTAGTACTTTCCTAATATTATTTATAAGTCCAAATAAAAAAAATGAACATTTATGTATGTATTCCCTTCTTGAGCTACCTCGGAAAAAGACACTTGGCCCTATCCTCACAATATTTACATTCTACTCTGGGAAACCAAGCACCTGTGTTGCAATAATTAAGACAGGCCAGGAGGTCTTAAGTTGTTGGTGGGAAGGGAAAAATAAAAAATCTTTAGAAGACTAATTCTAATATTTTAGAGCAATAACATTAAATTTATTTTTATGCTGTGATACAGTAAGTTCACTTCTATGAACTACTTTACATGCATGGTGTCAACTCAAAGACAAAAATGAGGGAACTGATCACAATATTTCTATAGTCTTAAATACTACAATGTCATTAAAATAAACTTCAAGAAATATGCTTTAATTGTATGGGAAAATAGTTGCAATATAATGTCGAGTGTAAAGTAAAATCAGTATGGTCTTACTACATAAATGTAACTCATAGAAGTTGGAAAATTAAACTGTGTGGTGAGATAATGGATAGCATTCTTCAGTCTACATATTTCTATAGCTACCTGGGAATGACATTTTCTCAACTTATAATTATCTGAATATATAAATATAATAATTTATTAAACAACTATTTCATAGTTAGGCAATACATATTTTCAAATAACAAATAGGCAAAAAATTATGGGCTAATTAAAATTTCACTGCAGTTGAGGAAGGATTCCACAGGAAAAGTGAGGAATTGAGACTAGGAAACTTAAATATTACAAAGGCAACAAAAAGTGATTTGGTAATTACCAGTAAGTGTCTATTTCACTAAAAATTACTGATGTTTAGACTGTGATTACACTGATGAGCCAAAGAAGGGAATGTGGAGATCCAAGGTGAAAAGTTCCCATTGACTGTCATGGTTACATGAGTCTACATAAGTTAATTTAAAACAGAACTAATCACTTTATGAAGATGAAAAAAAGCCTTCTAGAGAAAGAATTCAAGGACATAAAGAGCCTAGAGATTGAAAAAGACACAAGCATATAAATGTTAGGGATCAGCAGTACAGGAGCACCCCTAAGAAGATAGGGAACATGGGCTCTTCTGTGACATTTGCTTGAGTCTTGTCACGGAAGATTCTGACTCAGGGAGGTGCCAGTGAGTAAACACAGGGGTCTATGGTTTGTTATGTGAGTTACCTTGTACTTGTAGAGAGTAAATTTTAATCTGATCATAAAAGTGTGGTCTAAAAGTCTGAGATAAGGTGGCACAGGGGTTAAAGTCTCAGTGCTATCAAGCCATTGCCAGCAAATGTGACATGAGTTTGATCCCCAGCCAGGGAGGTGACCCACATGGCTCAGCAGACCTCTCCTGTCTCACTTGCTGCTCCTCTCAGCAGTGTGTTTCAGTCACTGTGCCTGTCTGCTCCCCACTCTGTCTCTGGTGAATCCTCTCAGTCCCTGCACCTCTGGCCTGTACTCTAGTTCTTGTATGCATAATCTTTAAAAAGTTAAAAAAAAATACTGCTATGTTACAGCTAAAGCAGATGAAGGGAAAGCAGTGGTAACTGCTAAGAGGTGGGTCCCGGGAATAGGTTAGCAATGTGCTGGCAAAGGCAGATGGGAATCACGATTTGTGAGCTGAACCGAGCCAAAGAGCGTTGAATAACAGGAAGACACCGCATAGGTTTGTATATTCTTATGCTGTGTACTGTTTCTTCTCCGAACTTCCCTCTCAGTGCATAAGTTGGTTTTCCTGTTTGGCTTAACTTCCACTGCACGAAGGCACACAGGCAGGAAGAAACACATGTGCAGGTCCTTGGAGACTCCTCTCTTCCTTTCTTAATTTTCTTCGAGAGGAGGCAAATAAAATTAGGGATCCTGTTGGGGCTGCCCTAAGTTGTTCGTTGTTCCTTTGTTCTTCATTTCCTATCACTCTTTTTTAGGGGTCATTTTATTCCCAGTCTCTGCCATCCTCTCCATTATTTATCTACCCTGAACCCCATTTGCCTCCTGATTCTCTGCAGATCACTCACATTCTTTTTTCTTTCATCTTTATCTTTTTCTCTTCCCAAATGACCATGTTCCAGGTCCGTTCAACAACGTAAATCCCACAACCTCTAACTACTCTTTGGTTCTGTCTCTCTTCCCTCTTATTTTATGTGACTATTATACTCTCTAACTTCATTGTCAGTCATCCATACTTAACATTTTTAAAAATCAATTTCTCAATATTTCATTACCATTTTTTATTTCCTTAATTTCCCTCTTCCCCTAGCCTATCCATCAACACTTTAGTTATTTTGATATCCTAAAGCAATGTCGATAATATATATATATGTAATCTACTGGAATACCCACTATAATCTTCCTCTCTGTTGAGCCTACATATTCTTCATATTCATTCTGCCCATTTCCCACCCAAGGTGCTTGTTAATTGATTTCTTGTTTTTGGACTTCATTTCATTCTATTAACCTTGGCTCTTGAGACTCTTTTTTCTACATTTATTCCCTGGGAGATTCTATTCAAGTTCAAATATAACATGTTTAGGACTGAACTCCTAGTTTTCTACCACAAACCTGCTCCTCCTGGAACCTTTATAATATGAGAAAATGTTGACTTCATTCTTCTAGACCAAAATCCTTGGAATCACCCTTGATTATGCTTTCTCTTACACCCCCATACTACACCTATGGGAAATTTGATTGTTTTCCTGTTAAAATATATCTGGAATCTGATCATTTTTTCCACCTCTATAAGCCACCTTGTTTCAAACCACAGTCACCTCTAACCTGGGTTATCAGCTCCTTGACCACCTCCTTCTCTGTTCCCACTCATGTGCTCTCTCCAGACTGTTCAACAGTCAGACTGATGGCATCACTCATGCACTCAGAGTCTGTCAGTAGTTTTTCATCTCCAGCATGAGAAAGATGAGACCCCATGATCTGGCTCATTTAAGTCTCTGGCCCTCTTCTCCAAGACAGTCCTTCCTCCTGTCTCCCAGCACCTGCTTCCCCACCTCTACAGGCAGACACCTGCCCCAGGGCTCTGAACTTACTGTTCCCTTAGCCTGGAATGCTCCCAATCAGATAGCTGCAGAGCTTGCCAGCTCACTTCAAATTTCTTCTCTTATGCTGCCACTCACTGAGGCCTTCCTTGGCCATTTTACATCATAACTTCGCCTACTTTCTACACCCACCACAATCCATTCTCACCCTCTTTACTTTATTCTTTATACCTTTCATATTGATTGTATCCTCCTTTTAGGAAGTAACTCTCTCAAAGTAAGGGTTTTACATGAAGATAAGGGTTTTGCCTGGTTCACTGCTGAATGCTCAGCACCCAGATGAGTTCTGTCCATAGTGAGAGTTGTAAGGATTGAAAAGCAAATCCTCTATCCTTTACTTTGTATCTTTTTCATGCCTCTTATATTTCATGCTAACCCTCCAGTTGTGACTTCAAGTTCATTTAGGAACATATTTGTATCCTCTGCATTCCTGCTGCTCGGTGTTCTATAGCTACACCTATGTTTCTCTGTCTCTTGTTTGGCTTTGTCTTTGCTAAGTAAGAGAGACTGGTAGTGTTTCAGCACCACATGCTTTATTATTATTATTTTTAAGCTTCTCAGTTTCTGCTTTGGCTCAGCAAGGCTCAGCTCTCATCTTCCTTCTCATAGTTTTCAAATCTCTGTTCTATTATTCTCAAACCTACATAATATTTGCTGCATGTAAGAAAACATCTTCAGGTGCTGGCCATATATAGCATGGGCTTAATGTCCAGAGGGAAATAGTGAAAGTGACATGTGTCCTGCTGGACAAGGGGAGATGGCTGGGAAAGAAACATCTGTTTTGGGGCTCTGAGCTACTTCTTTGAAGATATCTTTGATGAGAAGCCTTAGACCCATTACTTAATGCTGCTTCTTAGACTTGGGAAATTATTAAAAGAGGAATATAGCTTTTAGTGATATTAGATCATTGTTTATGAAGTATGAGTGATAGTTCCATAAGAGAATATGGTTAGCAGCCTGTAGGAACATATTCATTCAATTTCTTATTCAAAGCTTCAGCTGAAGATTTCTATTTTTGTCATGTGGATCATATATCTTACTTAGCATGACATATTGGCATATAAACGACAAATGACTGGTGAGTGGAATAACATAATACAGGTATACCTGGTAATGAACGTCCTCTCATTGATGAAGATCCAAGAAAATGATTGGTGAGCCATCGTAGTTATCTTTTTCTCCTTTTTGAAATCATCGGAGGATACCCTAAAAATTTAGAATAATATTAATTCGGTATAGCCATAAATTAGTTTCTGACTTAAACTGAACTTTTTGTTGGGTGCATATTGCCACTTTGATGGTGGGCTGGTGTGTAGAGGGCATCTCATTTAATTCCCACACCATGTCAGCAGGTATGGATGGTGTCAGCTCCATTTAAAACATCTTAGTACCTAGAGGAAGAGATAATTTGAAATAAGGCCTAACTGTCAACAAAACCTCTACCTTTTCTCTTTACCAAATTGTTACTACAGTTTGAAAAAGGTTATACAAATTTTTTGACTGTCTATGAATTGACTCATTTTAAGAATCTTTTCAAAGATTTTTTTTTCCCCAAGCCTGCGGGAATTAATATTGAGGATGAGAAGTTCTCCAAAGCCTTCAACTGTAAGAAAGTAAACTTAAGAGTTAAGAGTTTGAATTCTAATTCACTTTGTGTCAGTTACTAAAATGGCATCTTCTAAACCTTTTAATAATTTTAATTATCACTTAACATATTTTGGGAATATGTAGTAATATATCTTCTCTGCCCCCTGACTCATTCCAGATAAATTTAAATATTTTTAGGTGTTTTTCTCTGTTCTGATTACTTACTATGTGTTTATGAAAAAAATCTATTTCACCTCTCTTAATATCCATTTCCTATTTTAAATCGAACATTTAGATTCTTCATATAAGTTATGGAAATTAAGTAGTAAACAAAGAGAGACACAAAATTTAATTTGTGCAATCTTTTAAAAGAGATGATAAAAAGAGCATCTGAAGAAAAATTAGATGAACCAGAAGTAGATAACTCGACATATGGTCTCCTTGTAATCAGTTTGGGAAACTGACAACTCCGAAGTAGAGAGACAGAGAGGGGAAAGGCAGACAGGGCTGGAGCGGTATCTCTAAGGAAGTATAACACAAACTACAACATTGGCCCAAGATAAATGCTAATGACTTGCAAATGTGTTAGTGAAATTCTGTTCAAATTCATGCTGATCATCACTTATAGCTGAAGGCTGTGCTGGCTATATTCCTGGTAATGGCTGTATCCAGTATGTCCAGACTTAGCATAACTCCTGTTAAAGGGAAACCTATTTCTGAAGTTTTACTATTTGATTTGGAATACATTCAAAGGACTTTTTTCATTTTTCAATTTATCTGCAGTTCTGATATGACCAGGTTTTCTTATTTAGGTTATCTTCCTTTTCCATCTCTCCATAAATGCACAGATGTGCTTGGGTGTTTGAAGTTGCTGTTTCCTGGTGCAGAGCTTATTTTTTATTGAGAAGCATAAAATGGAAAAAAGAGAAGGCACAAGAGGAATTCTGTCTGGCTGGAATAATATTTCTGATGTCTCTCTGGCTTTATATGCTATAATGACCTTTCCAGAAATCTATGAAGAAAAAATTTGCTGTCCTATTATATTTATAAATAAAATTTCTGGACTTATGAAAAAATTCAGTTTTTTTTTTAAGATTGATTTATTTATACACACAAGAGCTGGGGTGTATTCCAGAGGTGAGGGGGGTGGTGAGAGGATTCACTCAAGACAGGCTGGGAACAGAACAGGCAGATTGACAGTTCAGTGAGTTTTTAGTTTCCATTTACTTAGCAGCTTAGTTTTATTTTCAAGAATATATTAAATTTCCAGAAACTTCTACTACCCTGAAAGAGGTATTTTTAAATCAGCGAGATTATTTTTGGCAATATGGGCATACAGATAACTAAAGGAGAGAAGAAATCCTAAGGCAATGAGAAGTGTACCGAGAAGAGGAAAATACACCCTGTAAACTGGGAAACTAGTGAGACAGAGACACCTGGCAAAGCAGGGTTAGCCCATTCTGCCAGCCTGTTTTTGGAGAGAATTCTCTCAGTATGACTGTGCAAGAGAACATTTTCTTCTATTGCAAAAACTCAATCCAAAGTAGCTGAACTTTGCTCCAGTCCCACAAAAGCAAGTTTCCAGGCAGTGAAAATCAAGTTCTGACTCGAAGGGTTGACGTAACATCCTTCCAGTCTCTTTCCGGCTCTGGAAACTGTGGTCAGACATAAAAAATGTACTCCTTGATGTCTACATATAAATGACTTAAGGTGTGACCAGAGATTTTAAAGTAGAATATTTTGTATTCATTTTATAGGCTATAAGACTACAGAACCATAGGGGATGTCCACAGAATAAAAGTTAGGCTAGGGAGAAAAGTCCTATTGTTTTATTTTAAAAAGAGAGAGTGATATTTTTTCTCCTTTTCTTTCCAGATTAGGTTATATTTGAATGGATAAGATATGTGGAAAACATTTTGCAGCCTCTTTGTTTTCAGGAGAATGCCGTCCCCACACTCCTCCCACCAAAAAAGAAAAGAACTATTCTTACAAAAACCCTGATGCCTAGTTTCTCTTATGGTGCTTGGTTAGCTTGAAGTGATTGATATAAGCTACCTGAAATCTCTCTGCACATTTTATATGGCATACTGTAATGGTTTCAAGGCTGAATGCTTGACTACTCTCTTGATGTACCACCACTCTGACCATCACATCATCCTTATATTCATAATCCTTCTGGGATCTCAATCTTAGCAAATACATTCTCATGATCTAGCATTTGGCTTTCAGCAATTCTGCCCAAACTTACATTTCCAGATTCAGAATGGAAGCTTTGCTTTAATCCCAGCCTTCTACTCTAATGGAATGTCATCCACTGCTTCTGTTGTGGTTAGAGGGTCTTGTCCCTGCAGACCCAGATTTCTGCTTCTTTTAGACTTTGTGCTAGTGAGACCTTAACGACTTCTCATAGCCCATATTTATAAGGCAGTGATGCTACTTTCTGTTTTCTACTTTTAATTATCTTGATTGATTTATTTCCTCTCTTTTACATCTCTGACTTGAAGTATGGTTCTTCTCTAGCTGGGAATGTCATCTTCTTTGACAACACATCATTGGGAGGGAGGGGATCTCATGAAAGGGACAGACACTTAGCCAACCAGACATTAACTGCGGATTAGAGGTTGCACAGGTATTTTACGTTGCTGTGGGACAAAGACACAGCATGTTTGTTCCATGAACTCAGCAAATCCCAGTTCCTCTGTCACAGGATTTAGTCTAAGCGGTTTTGCTTATACAATCCTGGCTCTTGCCTCTAAAACTGGAGTTTTGGCCCTAGATATTATCATTCCAATTAATCATCCACAAAAATGGGTTCTTGATGTCCTTTAGCAAAATTCCCCCAAGTGGTTACCTTGCTATTCAAAGTCTTTCTTCTTCCTGGATCCAGATTATTTTCCCCCTTTATTATTTGTATTAGAATATATTCTATTACTCTCCCTGCATCTCTCCCTCACATTTTAATAGCTTCTATCTTACCAAATAGTTCATCTTCTCTCCTTATTTTCTCTGCCTCTCAGCAGATTTGATAAAGTTGCTTTCTCCTTTTGAAACACTTACTTTTCTCTTGAGGCTTTTTCAAGTTAAAGTAGTGGTGACAAACTTATACCTCAACTTTCTAGTCTTTTGTTGACTCCTTTATATAGTTACAAATGCTGACTTGTCTCACAGTCCATCCTCCATTCTCCTCTCTTCTACCTTTACTTTCTTCTGTTAATATAATTATCTCCAGTCCAGACTCTGCTTAGCATCAGACTCATGCCATTCCTTACTTAATCTCTCTACTTGGATGTCTAATGGGCCTTTCAATAACAAGGTTAAAACAAAACCACTGACTTTCTCCTAGGCTCTAGAATGCCTGGGTACACAATTCTGTCCCATCTATGTAATTAGGCACCAAAACTAAGTCTCTGTCTTATTTTCCCCTCTTTTATCTTACCAGATTACAATCTAAAAACCAGTCCTATGAAATGACAGCCTCAACATGAATCCAAAAGTTTCAATTTCCAATGCTACCACTCTGAGCCCGGCCACTATCATCTTTCTCCTGCATTACTGAGTTAGCCTCTTGACTGGTTCCCCTGCATCCACATGGTGACCCATATTCTAGTCTACTCAGCATCTAAGACAGTAATTTTAAGTAATTTTATTTATTTACTTTTTATATTTTAAAGGGATAGTTTACTAAGAAAAAAAGAAAGAAAAGAAAGGCACCTGCAAAGTCACAGGTGGACAGGAGAACTGCCTAGGATGGTAAATTTTTTTAATAATAGTTTATTTTTACATCATTTTATGCATTTTTCCATCTCAGTTGTAATCCCCGTGGGCTTCCCATCACCAGATAGGATGGTCATTTTTTTTTTTTTAAGATTTATTTATTTATGCACACAGAACTGGGGTACAGGCCAGAGATGTGGAGGGTGAGAGGCTTCACCAGAGACAGAGTGGGGAGCAGAACAGGCAGATCGACGAAGTACACTGCTGAGGGGAGCAGCGGGCGGGTCAGGAGAGGTCTGCCGCGCCATGTGGTCACCTCCGGGGCAGGCGGGAGTCGAACTCATGCGGAAGCCGTCTTAGATTCTCAGTGCTGTGCTTTAACCCGCTGCGCCACCAGGGAGGGCCAGGATGGTCATTTTAAAGCTGGTAATATATCTTATCATTTCAGATAAAAACCTTGCACACTTAAAATACCATCTCTTTATGATGACTTACAAGGTCCCGTCAATCAGCATTCAGCTACCTTCATTAATTCCCTCATGATTATATTTCCTCTACACTGACCATCTTTCTGGTTCTAAGTCATGCCCTAAGTGCATGAGTGTCTACAGGCTGTACCTGTTGCTGCTCCTGCTTGCCTCACTTCCTCAAGCTTTCAAGGGACTGTTTTTTCACCCTCACCTCGCAGATTTTAGTTCAAGTATCTTTTCTCTAAGAAATTCCCTGAGTAGATCACTCATGATCACATTATTTTCATCTTTGTTCAGGTTAGTATCTGAAAAGACCTTATTTACGTCATTTGTTTTCCCTGTCACAACATGAATTTCTTTGGAAAGGGACCTTATTTTGTTCACCCATGTACATCTAGTCCTTAGAATTCTGCCTGGAACATGGAAAGAATTCAA